ACACAGCACGTTTTCTACGAGAAGTTGGCTGAGGGTCTGATTGATAACAAGTTTGGACCTTCCACTTTTCGAAGGGTTACAAGTGACAGTTTCATCGACGATGGCTGCTATGTTCCGAGCAGTGGAGTCGAGGAGCACCTTTTGCCCACCAAGCGTAGAAGACCCTGTCTGGGTGGGTTGACAAACACAGTTTTTCAGTGACGTTGCGCTGTGTGCCAAAGTCGAAGTTTTTATGCTCCGGCTGTCGTGATAAGGCCAAATTGGAATGTTTTATTTGCCACAGCCAGACAGGCCGTTGCTGCTTTACGAAACACATGGAAGCTGAGCACAATCAATAAAAGTATCTCACGGCGTCCTCGCCGACAGCGCACAGGACTGGCTACTTCTGCACAGTTATGTTTGTCGGAATTCTCATCTTCTCATCTTCGTTTAGTTGTGAAGGCGACACGCAGACCACGGTGGTACTTGAGGCGGTGCATTAGCACTTATGCTAGCATGCCTCATATGAGAAAAACGAGGCCTCATATGAGGAAAAATTGGTGTCGAATAGACACTAGTGGTTGAAGTAAATGAGTAAATTTTTGATTTTTGGAGATAGATTTGGTCACGACCAACTCTAGTGTCTAGAAGACCGGCAATTTGCCTCATATGAGGTCAGGCTTGGACTCATATGAGGCCGTTTTTTTGCAAAAATGTATACATTAAATCGAAATTATATAAAATCAGTTTAGACACCATTTCTTTAACCAATATTCCCTCGGTAATAGCTTCCTGCAAAACATCGGGATAGCAGTTATGAATACACAGAAATACTAAGAATCTAATATAGTTTCAACAATCGGATGATATTTTAAACAGGCGTTTTGGTTTCGAAGATATCAACAAAAAACGTTTTGATGTTTTTTAAAAAAGCTTCTTCTTTAGGTATTCTCAAAAAGCCTGGAAAAGACGTGCAGATCTCACCAAGCGCCACCCTTTCAAAGCGCAGAAGTCAACTGCGGTGGCGAGAGTATCTTTTTCCATTTTGTTCAGCTCGCACAAGTCGAGAAAAATTAAGTTGAAAAGTGACCTCATATGAGGCCATTTGCCACCTAGACACTAGATCTCTCGCGATACCGAACCCTTAGCTTGGTCCAGCTTCCATTATATCGCCCCGAGAATAATGTCCGCGTGCACCTTCCCACTCCCACCACAGCATCTTCCACCAAATCCCTTCTCCCGCGGAAACCCCTCCCCCCTTCCGTCCATGCATCCATGCCGGACGACTCCAACTCCTGGCGCATCCGCGTCCACCAAGCGCTGCGCTGCGCGGTCGGTGCGGCGGCCATTGCGGCCATCGCCCTAACCACGGGCGTCACCTCCGGCGGCATCCCGTCCCTTCTCTTCTTCATCAGCACCATCGCGGGCACACCCGAGAACCTGCAGGGCTTCCAGCTGCGCTCGGCCTGCTTCACCTACGTGGGCGCGCTGTTTGGCGTCCTGTCTTACGCCGCCGTCGCGGCCGTCACCTCCGACTCCAACATCGCCACCTTCTTCGCCGCCGTCCCCGTCATCTTCTTCTTCTCCTCCCTGCGCGCCGAGAAGGACCTCACGCCCATAGATATCAACAAAAAACGTTTTGATGTTCTTTAAAAAGCTTCTTCTTTATTCTCAAAAAGCCTGAAAAGGACGTGCAGATCTCACCAAGCTCCACCCTTCCAAAGCGCAGAAGTCAACTGCGGTGGCGAGAGTATCTTTTTCCATTTTGTTCAGCTCGCACAAGTCGAGAAAAATTAAGTTGAAAAGTGACCTCATATGAGGCCATTTGTCACCTAGACACTAGTGGAGTGAGTATCTCTAAAAAATTTACCATTTTGAGTAAATCTATCTCCAAGCAGCCGACCGGATGGAGACAGATTTACTCATTTCCGCAAATAGAGATGCGAGTAGAATTGCGCCACTTGGAAAAATTACCAAAAACCCACGCCAATTCTATTGACTTGGCGCGAGCAATGTTCTCTGTGCACAGGGAACACACTGTTTTCTGTGCACACGGAACACACTGTTTTCTGTGCACACGGAACACCGCCAACACCCCCATCCCAAGCTGAACTTACCCGCCACTACCACCCTCCTGCATTCTTCCTGACGCCCTACCTTCTCCCTTACCGCCCTTCCTGGAGGAAGGGCGGGGAGGAGCGCCTCCAGGGCATGATGGTGTCATGTGGGGCTTGAGGAGATGGGAACCGGAGACGTCCCCCACAGTATATCCGTACAGCACCACCACTACCATCCCTCGTACTGGATGACCGTCACGGCTGCCGAAAGATCCAATCATTGCACAACAAGTTTGAATTTGCCCTCTACCCGGTACAGTCGATGTCCCTTAATATGCGCTAGTATGGACAGAGGTCATTGCTGCGCATATTGCGGGCATGCGCATATTGCGGGAGTCTGCTCTGAGAGCCTCTCAGGGACGATTTTCTGAAGCAGACGGCCAAGTGCACCATCGGCTTCTATATGTGTATTCAGTAGTTTATGGAACCCTCATTTAATTGCTCTTTCTGGGGAAGTAATCTGCAATAACGGCCTGTCGATTGCAACATGGTTCTCTCTCGCGCCGGATGCGTATAAACGATTGCTTCGCAATTCGTAAGCCACGCAATGCTCCCTGAGCGTCACAATCCAGCGCCAATTGCTCAAGATCTGCGAACATGCGACTGAGTTCTAGTAACCTGGGAACTTGCTTTGGCACAGCCTCAGCAGCATTTTCATCCTCTTCTTCAGGATCCCCTTCATCCACGTCTTTGGGATCCTCAGGTTGCCCACGAGAAATAACGCCCTGAACGACACGCTGTATGTCCGCAATATCCTCAGCCGCGTCGTTACCCAGCGCTTCGACCACCTCTTCGAGCTCTTCCAGGCGTATCCACTGTCTGATGTCTGCACCCCTCTGCACTGCATCAACTCCTGTCCCTTCAAAGGCCGAAATATCGAGTTTCATGATGCACTCGATCATTTTCTCGTAGTCTTGCGCGAGCGCGCATGATTCAGCATCGTCATCTACCTCGGCAATCCCGTACATGTCCCGGATCTGCTTGTTGACGCCAGGAGATAGCGTTCGCGCCTTCAACCAACATTTTGCAATAGAGATAGGCTCCAGCTCTTTCCAGCACTCAACTAGAATTTCCATTGCGTCCAGAACGTGCGCAGAATAACCCTCAGCAATGCCCCGAGTACCAGGCGTTCGTCTCTTATACATCTCGCGTAGCTCGTCGCGCTCAGCAAACACCTCCGTTGATTGGCGCAGAAGAACATGACGATATCGCACTTTCACAGCTGCGATGATGCCCATATCCATGGGCTGGTGCACGCTGGTGCAATTTGGGGGATAGAACTCCACTCTCACCTGCCCGCGGGGATCCGTGATATCCATATGGGAGCCAGCATTATCCATGAGCAAGAGGACTTTATTAGAGGTTACACAGCGAACATGCACTAGAAAGACTTTGTGAAACCATACTTGGAAGCATTGTCCGTCCATCCATGCATTTTTTTGCGCCTGGTAGTGCATCGGAGGAGCTCGAAGGCGAAAACACTTCGGGTTCTTCGATTTGCCGATGGCAGAGAGACCAACTTTTTGCGAACCTGAAGCATTCGTGGCCACCATAAATGTCAAACGGTCCTTTGCTTGCATTCCCTTGATACCTCTCGCAGACTTTTTCTCCCCTGGGAGTACGTATGTCACTTTCGGAAACATGCGGAACTGGCATCCGCTCTCGTCTGTGTTGTAGATGTCGTCTGGGTTGTACAAGGAGCTGATGGATCTGATATCGTGCATACGTTTCTTGATTTGTTCATTATTGACGGATCCAGCTTCCCCATGCAGCCGTTTACTCTGAAGGCCACATTTCCCAATGAAATTTCGTACGTACTTTAAAGAGACTTTGAACTTTTTTAGGTGCTCCTTTCTCTCGGAAGTCATTGCTTTATCGTCAATAAGCGTCCGGCAGATCTTTTCTGCGTTCGCTTGCAACACATGCAACGTTAACGGCATACCGGCCTTCCGGTATCGTTTTGTGAGCTCCAGTAAAGCCTCATCGACCTCTGGGTACATCACCCGACGAACGCTTTTATGGTTGAAGTTCAGCACCCCCTTGCGCAGCTTCTCTCGGCGGGCGTAGATCCTGTTCACGCTACTAATGGTAGTGGTAAACCGTGATGCAAGATCTTGCGAGCGAGCACCACTCTCTTTCGCATGCACGATGGTAAGCTGCTGCTTCATGTTGAGCCGAGTTCTTTTGCCACTCTGCCGTTTGCGAGCAGCAGTTTGTTTTGATATTTTCTTTGGGACAGTGCCGTTCCAGTTCAACTTCGTCTGACTAGACTGCACGCTCAGCTGGGCCAAGATGGATGATCCGGCAACCGGCTCGTCTGATGCTCTCTCATCTACATAGTCGATGTCGACGCACTCGTCATCGACAAAATTCATGACTTCTTCGTCCGAGGGGATAGCATTCACAACCACAGATATCGGACGCACGCCACAATCGTAACACGCAGAGCAAATGCGTGGGCAAGATGAAACTTCTTCGTGGCCGGACTCACGACTGCAGATGGCATGCATTGGAACCTTGCACCCAAGGCATCGGTGGCCAGAGGTTGAGGGAACAGCGCGGTTCTGCCGACCCTTGTCATCCCACCCCCGGCACCCATCGCCTTCCGCACAGATGATCATCTGGAGGTGTCGATCGTCAGTCCTTTGTTCATCATCGCTTGTGTCGAAAGTGAATCAGGACTTGTGTGTGTTACTGTAGCTATGGTCCCCGCTCAGTTTCCGGTCATTTATTTCCCATATAACCAATCAGAGCAGTGTATATTCCCAACCCCTTCTGAGAGGCTCTGAGGGGCCCTAAATACGGACACGAGGATTCGCTGCGCATATCGCGGGCAATGCGCATAATCGGGGACGCATATTAAGGTACATCGACTGTAGTGTAGCGCCTAGAATCGTTATCTCCAAACGCTAAATTTCTCATATTTAACCTCGAAATATAACTAAACCAGTAGGGGTGCTCTTACTGCGGCGAACACGTGTCAACACGCAACTAAATTGCTCATTGCAGTGCAATCTCATTCCTGGAGATGGAAAATCGCGCAGACTTTCCTGGCACTCTTTTGTACTGCAGGATCCGTATCAGTTTTCCTTGCAGCCTGCATTGCTTGGCTTTGCACTTCATCAGACAGGAAGTTAATCACTTGGCCCTTATCCTTGAGACTCTCCCCAAGAACCGTCAAAACTGAAAACCCACTCACTCGGATCTTTGCATACTTGACATCGATCACGCCGAACTCAGCGAGTTTAGCGATCCTCACTGTCAACCGCGTGCTCCCATTGTGTCCAGAATGCCCAAACAGCACTCCCTCGTCCAAACGCTTCACCACCCGCTGCACAGCCTCGAGCACCCCTAACCGCACCTCCCAATGCCCTGTCTCAACACTCTCAAACATTGCCATTAAGCTCTCAATATGTTCAACCTGTCTATCCGCTCTCTTTCCACTTGCTAGTGCGGCCTCCTGGCATCCAATTGCCGCTACACACAGGCCTCTTCGCGCTTTCCGTGCCTTGTTCCGGGCATCCACAATATCCGCATCAGATCCCGTCTCCCAAATAGCATGAGCACCCACCACAGACTCATTTTCCATCGTCGTCTCCGGCGCCCACAATTCTGAGACATGGGAATTTACTTCCCCGAACATATCCAAGTCATCACGGCATTTCTCGAGTAACTTCGTCGCTGATTCGATCGCAGCCAATCGATAGTCTTTTCTCCCACGCTTGCATTCTTGCAGTAGAGTTCGTACGACAGCGTCCGCACCACCCGAAGTCTGCCACACGTCTAAATTTGAGTAAGCTTTGGCAATCGTTCCAACTGCTTCCAGTGCAACAATCTTTCCCTCCCAAATGTGGCCTGGCAAGGCTGCCATCAGGGCTTTTGCCGACTTAGCAAGATATTTTACGTCCACAGTCTCATTGGATGCATCCGCGAGTGCACCCAAAGCCGCAGCCGCACTTCGCTTCACGCGATATTGTGATGACTTCGCGAGTCGTCCAACACAGATGTCCGTGATTTCTTCTGCATATAGCCGAAGCCCTGCCTCCGTGCTGGGCGCACCCTCGCTCCAAACTTCTTTCCAGTTTGCTCCAGCTCCTTTCGCATCGTCATCGGTTTCGTAACGACCCATATAGGCGATAGGAAGCATAAGACTAGCGTGCTGACGGGCGGTGTCAGGAGACTTTCTCCAGAGACCCACCGCCAGAGACGATGCCAGTGATCGATCTCGAGCATCTTCGGATCCTGCGTAGTAAACAATTCTCTCAACAAGCTGTCCTACTTCTTCAGTATTTGACAGCTTGGCTGCACCTCCGACAGCAGAACACCATAGCTCCCTCAAATTCATATCCCGTTCCATGCCTGCTGCTGCAGAAGATGCGTTCATGAGCCTTGCCGCGTACGGCTCTACTACAATCGCGCGAGACCGCAGTATTGTTGAAAAGAACTTTGCTGTTGTCGCGCGCGTCGGAATACCGACGCCTATTCTGGATAGGCGGATCAGCTTTGGTATTAGCTTTGCGACTATGGACTCGTCAACAAATCCTGCAAGTCGATCTAAAGAATCCATTATCGATGATGTAGAGCTTGACGCAAATTCCACTCTGGCTTTCTGCAGTTCTTCTTTTTCGTCCACGTGAAATTGGGCGTAATTCAGTATCCCTGGTTCCAGCTCGGTGGCAGCTTCCAGTAGCGCCTCAACTAGATTCGGTACCGATGATGTCAAAGAGCTTCCTCCGTGCCTAATCACTTCTGTTAAGGTTTTTGTTGCCACTAATCGCACTTCGTCCACTTGATGCGTGAAGGCAGCGAGAATACCCGGGATGACAACTTTCATAGCTTCTGCTGCAATTTCCTCGCCTACCTGTGCGGGGTTGCACAAATGGACTGAAAGCTCCGACAATGAACGGCCTGTCCCTCCCGCAGCTTTCCGCACACTCTCTTTGATGTCGTCTAGTGCACGCAACGTGATAACCCATATTTCTGCAAGCATGTCCTTCATCTGTAGCCATGTTCTGGACACAAGTGCATCTCTAAGGGCACTACACGCGGCTTCTCTGCTTCGCCATTGACGAACCGTCATTGTATTCAAGCAGTAGCGGATCACGATGTTGAAATGTGCAGATATCGCTTCAGCAATAGTTCCTAAATCCGAGGCCTTGACGACCGCCTTAAGAACAGACCCCATGGCAATGCGGACTTGCTCTGTCGGATCATAACAGTACACGTATAGTTTCGGAAGGAGAGTTTTGACATGTGGACGGAGCTGTTCAGCAGCTGCTCCACTGTCCAGCAAGGCACCACCTGCGAGGGCTGCTCCCCTTCTGTTGTTCCAAAGAGCTGCGTGCCCTGCCAAGTCCATAAACTTATAAACAAGCTCTGGCTGCCCCATGTCTTGAGCAATGGTGCACAGCTCCTTGTACGTAGCTGACCTTCCCACAGTTTTCTCTGAAGTGTTCAATCCCCCAAGTTCCAAAATCGCTCCTTGATCCCCAGGCACAGTCGATGCTGCTCGTGCTTTCCCAGACGTCAAAGAGCGGACTAAAGTAGAAACCAAGTCCTGTTGCTGATTGAGCGGGCACATTTCGTAGACAAGCGCAACGCCACAAGAGGCCATCTGCTGCACAAAATCATCGCGATCTCCAAGCAAAACTGTAAACGCTTGTTGGATTTCAGGTAGCAGACCAGACAATATTTTTTGCTTGTCCTGGAACCTAGTTTCGTCATCCGCTGAACCAAACTGGAGCTCGGGGGAAGCCCTGCCCTTTGTCTTTGGCCCAAGCAACCTCAGAAGTGTAAACAGACAGACACAACCTCCTGCCCTGGCACCTGGTCTTTCATCCTGTGACAATTCGATGAGCGCCCTCGTTACCTCCTCAATATTAGAGGGTTTCCACTTCTCGCCCTCGTCATCACAGTTGACATTTCTGATCAATGTTAAGTCGGTCTTTACATTCATAATCAATGTCAAGTCCCCCATGACCGAGCTTTGGGACGATGGAATCGCATTGGGCTCATCAGCGCCATCCAACACAGGACTTGGTGCATCACATCCAGACGCACATCGAACCAAACTCTCCCCAGCAGTGAACCGGATTTCATCTTCCTTTCGATCCTTGCACACAGTCAACAAGGCTTCGACGGCAATTCTCTTGAAGGACCGGCGTGGTTCCCCGACGCATATCTTTCCAATGGAATCTGCAGCAGTCTCTACGAGACGAGCGTCAGAGTTGTGTGATTTGAGGATTCCAGCCAAAGAACTAATAGTTACCTCTCTGGGGGTTTGAGGGATGGGAAGCGCTCCGTGGATGCCGATATCTCCAACAGCTACACAAGCAGCCGTTCGTACTGCGTTTGAAGATTCGACAGCCAGTGTCAAACGCCTCGTGACATGCAGGCATATGGCGCTCACTTTATCAGCTGTCTCTGCATGGAATGAAAAGCCATCGCGACGCGACGTACGTGCAATTATTTGGCCAAGGGCAAGTGTTTTCGCAACTCTTTCATCTTCACCGAATCTGCCAGATGCCGCGCCAGACTCCTTAGGCTCAAGTCCACTTCCTATTTTCATTATCATGGCAAAAAGATCCTGTTCGTCCATGCTCTCTGACGCAATTCCGATGAGGATTGACAAAGCCCGTGCAACTTGCATGTCTCCGGCTGCAGACTTTTTCTGCAAGAGAGAGAGTATTTCCAAAATCAGGCCAGCATAGGTCCGCGACACGTATGGCCTCAAAGAATTTATCTTTGAAGCAAACAGAATGACAACTAGTGTAGCCCGTTCGAGCCCAGCTACCTTTGATTGAAGCGATGCCAAAAGAGCTTCTTGGGCTGTATCTTTTAGCATAGTAAGAGCTTTGAGATTTTCAGGATTCTTCTCAAGAAATGCTTCTATGACACCAGCCTGCAGGAGGGCTTTGGACTTTCCATTCAAAATGGAATGAATCAATGAAGTCAGCCCAAAACATAAATAGGCGCCGATACTCTTTGGGCCCATCTTTGGACCACTATAGCTGTCGTAGCATTGCACAATCTGCATCAAGAGAGGACGCTCTGTACTCTCCACGGGGCTGCCATCATCGCCACCAAATTCCGTTTTCACTCGCCACCGTTTAGGAGATAGGCCGTAGCTGGCATGCTGTCGCACGTCCTGCCGGACATCGGCGCAAGCAATTATGTTGACCAGTCGGGCATCGCAGTCAGCAAAGCTGAAACACTCATTCGCCCACTGAACAGCTGCAGCCCTTGCGGAGCTCGCAATATCATCGGAATTCCTGATGGTACTGAACACCGTCTGTAGTGCCGAATCTCGCTTCTCAGAAACATCTCCAAGCCGAAACCGTACAACCCTAGTAAGTGCTACGAGGGCATGTGACGCAGTAGTTCGCACCTCTGCTGGTAGAGACTTGTCCTGCGCTGCCTCAAAAAACAGCTGTGCAGTTACGCCATGTTCTCCCATAAGTTCCGGGACGCGAATAACCATTTCTGCTAGGCCAGTGAATCCGAATGCTCTCAGCTTGTCCGGAAAACTTGGACTCTCGCCAGTTGCATTGTGTACAAGCTTCATCATAACCTCCACAAAAGGCCGGGCGTTTTCCCTCAGCCCTGAGTCCGCTGAGTGTGCAAGCAAAAAGCTTACCCACTGCATTCCAAGGCCATGAAGCCTTGGAGGGACACCGGAGGTCAACAACGCCGCCTTCGACACGTCTAAGACTTCTGGAAAGCATTGCGCGGCAAGCGGCGTCTTGAGCAAAGCCTTTCCGAGTACTACTGTTCGCATAGGGGCCTCCGATAACGGATCTAAGTATATTTCGAATAGCATGTCGACGAGACCAGGATCTTCGCTGGAGAGTACATCAGCGCCAGGTAGCTTCTTGAGTGCCGATTCTCCTGCAGAAGAAAGCCTCGTGCGCATTGAGGTGCCAGCGGCAACCAGTAAATGCGGAAGAATCTTTGCGCATCGCTGCGCATCGTTCCCTGAAGAGTACTCCCCCGCCAATCGCACTATGGCTAACAACTGAGCTTCTGTCGGCGCCGCCTCCGTCTTCCCGCGAAGAGCACGCAAGGCGTAGTCGAAAAATGCCTCCGCCGAAGGCTCAGGTACCGTTTGCAAAAGCCTCCATAAGGCCACCCCAGGACCCGATGGAAACTCTTCAGCAGCATATGCGAGTGCTTCTAATGCGAGTTGTCTCAAGGCATTTTTGTTGCCTTCGGACGCAACGCGGTGGGCAGTTTCCAAAATCTTAGGCAGCGCCGTCGCCCTTTCTCTTCTCGGAAGGCTCTTGAAGCATCGTACGAGATAACCGCCCCTGAGGGCAACGTTGACAGTTAGAGCGGCTGCCTTTGGGTCTGCTGCGACTGATAGCACATCTGAAAAGGGAAGGGCGATGCCTGAGGAAGCGCGGACGCGAACATTTATGTGCTGCAGCGTTTCGATGATTTTGTCACGAGCGGGGGCGGACGGACTAGATAAAGCAGTGAGAAGTGCGGGAAGGAGACGGGATATAACTTTTTCAAGTGCGGCGTCGGTGGATGCGAGCGCCAACGTATTCAATGCTGACTCGACTGCCTGCAGCTCCGGGTCGCTCATTGCAAATGGCAAGGCAGGTGCGAGCCGGTACGCGGAAAGACCTGTTTCCGCGATGAGACACTGGCATGCGAAACAGGGCGAACGCAAGGATCGTCGCAAGAGAAAAGGTACGAAGCAATTATGAGGAGACACGGACTGCTGGAAGGCGATAAAAGAGACGTAGACCTTTCCAGAACGGTGGAGCAGCACTGGGAATCGATCTGAGGAATCTTCTCAACACCATGGGTCACTTAACCACTGTGCTAGAGGCCGCAAATGAAGAAAGGGCTCACTCAGCCTGCGCTCGACAAAGACAGACTGTCGATAATTATGCCTAAAAATAAAGAATATTTAACATTTAAAGTATATCTGCTATATATACAACTTGGTGAGGAGCTAAATTGAGTTCTCTTCGGAGACTCATCTATCAAACGATAACAATAACAGAGAAGATTGGCATTCCCTCTGCGCAAGAATGGAACTCAATACCAAACAGTTATCTGAACCTTTTTTTGGACATCTCGCCCTGACCTCGGCTCAATACTTCCTGGTCATCTACCTCGATCCGTAAGTCTACTCTTTTTGCTACTCTTGAAAGTAGGGCACACTGCAGTGAGGTTATTGGGAAGCCAAATTATGATCAATCTGGGGAAGCACCTGTCATCTATTGGTGATTTCGATATGCAAGTTATCCCAACGAGCGTGCAGCAATTAGTAATGTTTTGTTTATACTGAACCTCAAATCTCCATCTATATCGTCCTCATCCAGACGCGTTTTTCGAAAACCCCAATTTACACCATCCTTCCCATTTTCCTCGATGTTGCAGTAATCTTGTTCAGAAAATATACTACAGCCACCAGGAGCACTTGCATCACTAAAAACATTATCAACACTCCGTTCCCTTGACGTTCCGCGATAGATTCTTGGTGATCCAACAAATCAGCATGCAAATCATCATGCTTGTCGCCCATCTTCTCCGTTTTGTCACGTAGAACTTTGAGACTCGCATGCATACCTCGCAATTGCGACGTAAATCGATCTGATGCATACGTCAAGTCCCCCGCAGATTCTTTTAAGTGCGACAACGTCCCAGCTAATTCTTTCATGTTTGAACTCTGCTTCTCCAGTTCCGTCACTAGATGCACAGTCACGTCGCGAACATCTGTCAGCTTGGACGTCGTCTGCGCGGCGTCCTTCCCTCCTACGTTTTTTAGATCTTGTGTCATTGAGTCGAACACGTGGTAGATTTGTAAATCAAGGCTCCCTGCTAAAGACTCTGTAGGATTGTCAGACTTATGAACTCTCGTGCTCGGGTCGTTGGATACCGGAGCACGCGGAGCCTCCTTCTGTTGTTGTTGCTGATGTGGCGATTGCCGCTGCCGCTGTTGCTGCTGCTGCGGATCGCCATACTGCTGCGACTGATACTCTGAGCGGTAGCCCTCTCCCGAATGATCGCTCTCATCTATAAAACTGGCATCATGCACCTCATGAAGAGCGAAGAAGTGGCCCGTCTCGCCTGCAAAGGCAAGAACTCCACCTCCTGAGAAGGGCATTTTGACATTGGAGGCTTTAAAGCACGTATGCCAGCGATGCGGGCTGCGCGGGTTCATGGCCACTCCGACATGAAGATCACCATCAACAAACTGTACATAAACGCGAATCTGGGTATTCATCTCGAGCTGACAGCCGCGCGCCAACTCGGTATCAGATCCATCGGTATCCGGGTTCCACTTCTTGGTGCCATCAGACACATAGGCGTACATATACGGGACACGCCTACTCCTGCTATTCGAAAAAGTGTCAATAATAAGCCCCAAGCCTTGGACACGTTCATCAATACCCATGGCGGAGCCTGCCTTTGGGCGATCCTTGACAAAGAAAAAGCCCATGCCATCCGCAGCCTCGTGGCTCTCGCGGACGCTGTCGATCTGTACGTCAAAGTAGCCGTTGAAGTTTGCCGACTCTGTCCTGACGGCATTGTAGAAGATGCCCTGATTTGCTTGTGCGGCCGACGTGAGACGGACAATGTCGCGGCCGGAACGGGCGCGGGCAATTACAGTAGAGCCCAGCTGGAACCAGGCATCGACGGGATCGCCGCCTGCGGAGGGCTTGTAGGGGTGTCGGAAGGAGTGGTCAGGGTCGCCACGGCCCATGTACGGGAACTGGAAGATTTGAGGATGTCTTCGCTTGCGCTCATCGAGGGTGGGATAGCAGAGGGAGGAGCGAGGGAAAAGAAGGAGAAGCGCGGTGAGGGCGAGGAGCACTGAAACGCGTGGCGACGACATGGCACCAAGACTGGGATTGAGGCAGAGAGGGAAGGGGAGGGGCGGCGGATGAGGAGGGGAGGGAGGGATGCAATCTGGGAATTTTGGTTATGGCAAGTGGGGAGGGATGTGAAAATATGATGACAGAGAGAAGGTCAGTTAAGTGAGATGCAATGTGGATGTCGAAGAGAGATTCAGAAGGAGGGGAATTGAAAATAATAGAAGGGTCAGAGAGACTGATGGCGACTCGGTAGGGGTGCGACAAGGACGGGCAAGCGTGCTGCCGGATTCAGTGATAGGGTGGTGGATGCGGAATGTAGTGTGGTGGAGAAATTGCAAATCGCAACACGGCGCCACCACTACTCTCCGTGATGATTGAACGATCGCCCAATCACAATCCTACAGCCATCACATCACATTACGATATACAGTAGGTACCCCTCAATAGTGCACCCTCGTGCTATAAGCTATAGATACGCACTACTGTCAGCGCGAACTAATGAAGGTTTATCCACAGGTCACGGCCCACCGGCCACAAAATGCTCTGATATGAGCGTTTGACGTCGCTTCTTGCGCGCTTGCTGGTGATAGGCTTCAAACAGGGCTCGTTTGGCCCGGCGCAGTGCCTCTGAAGCATGCGGTCGTGGTCGTCATCCGCAACGCAGCGGTGTGCATCTACATCGGCATCGCCCACGTGCACAGGTGTACACGTGGTATGAATGGTGACATCGCTGAAAGGGGTGCACTTTTGGCCATGTGCACTATTGTAAAGCGAACTATTGAGGGGACCCCCTGTACGAGCGACGCGCAATTTTGAGACGGTCCAATTTAGTGCACAACCCGCTGGTTTTGGTGCCCCTCCCAAGAAAAAGTCAGAGTTAAAAACATTGAACATTTTAACAAAAACGTTACGCCACCCCACCCCTCCTGTGGGCAAAGGCATTCCCGCCTTACCTTTCTGACGCCTTCACGTCCGCCTTCACGTCCGCCTTCACGTCGGACTACACATACCATCGGCACAACCTCATCATCTTACTCTCACAACACCCCAGCTGCGACGATCTCCACCTTTGGCAATCGGCTCGCGAAAACCCCTTTGTTCGCCTTCCTCTCCACCTTGTACCAAAACGCCATATTCTCCAACACTCTTCCAAACGCGCAGTACCGCCCATCCAAGTATCCGCTATCCCCCGGTCTGGTATTTACAAAAAACCTCGAATCCCCGCGTCCGTCCACCCCTCTCACCATCGAAACCAGCCCAGGAATTGTATGCCTCACCCGCACGTTCTCCAATGCTAGACTCCCGTCCGCCGTCGCCGCCCGCCCGCTCCGTCCCCCGTTTTTCAGCACGTCTCCCAGCTGCACTGTCAACCCGGGCACCACCCTGTACACTGATGTCCCCACGTACCCTGACTGCAGTAGCGCTTTGAAGTTGGCTACCGTCGCCGGCGTCACGTCACCGTAGAGACCTATCGTCACCCGCTCTGCGACAGAACCGTCTAGACGCAGGTCGAGGAAGACACGGTCCGTGATCTTAGGCTCTGCGGAGCCGGGGTCGATGTCCTGCAGCGCTTCTTTCGCTGCCTCTTCAGTCGGGCTTGACAATTTTTGTCCTTCCTCCGAGGCCGCGGGAGAGAGTAATGCCAGAGGTAGTGCGAGTATAGCTGTCTTGAGGATTGTTCGCCTCGTAGGAACGCGCTTCTGAGAGCATGGTTGCGATTCCATTTGTACGCATGATCTGCGACGCGTTCGTCTTGACGTCGCGGAGCCTTGAAGTGAAGGTGCTTTGAGAAATGTACCTTGGCCGACGAAGCCGCAGCAAATTGCCATGGTGGATGTCCTCGTTTCCTCCATCAGGTTTGCACTTTCAGCTCCTTTCAGACAATCAGCTCATCTCAACGAGCGCCTAACTGCACATGGGGAAAAGAGCGCTAGGCAGTGCGTAGGTGTCGATCTCCGGCTGTGAAAGAGAGACTTCAGGAAAATTTGAGCTCATGTTTTTACTCCTGTCGGTGGAGCAAGCATCTTTTGGTAGGTTTTTTGATCCATTCTATTCCACGACCGCACTTTCCTATGTCATAAGTATAACACCGAGTAGCATGACATGGGACGGTCTCCATTGTTTTGGAGAGGAACCTTCATCCCTCTTCTTCATCGAACGCGTTAACTGATTGGCGAGGTACTTGACTCAGCTATACCGTATTGTATTAACTCATGGCCAGTCACGAAAACAACGGCTCACGAAATACCGCAGCTGATACTGGTGAAGCCATCCGCTCGCCTTCATCCCGAACAAGGTCCGCCGACGAGGCAGTCACACTTTCCCTAGCTTGCGAGCTGGACCTGCAACGTGCCAAAACAGCAGGCATGCTCGCCAGCGTAAAGACGAGGACAGCAGAGATAGCAGATGTGCTGGCGCGGGCGGAACACATGGCAGAAGCCGCCTTGCGGCCGCTCCAAGTGTGGGATGAGGCTCAGACCATCCTTGATGGAGGCTCAGACAGTCGCATAGAAAAAGAGAATGACTCTCAACTAGCCTGGGCGTTGGCGGAAGCGTCTGGAATCTGTGAAATGTTTTTGCAAAACGCTACAGGTGGTCGGGAGAGCAGTGACAATGTCATTCAACGGATTGATTGCTTGCTCGCTGCGCTTGATGCCGATGATAGGTGAGAGCACTGCGAGTTCCTACCTCCCGCAACCGTTTCATACTCTCATGTGCGCGCTTTTGTTCTCGAACACTGCCTAACAAGTAATTGCACCCCCACTGGAATGTCCACGCAGAAGGGTCTTTTCACTTACGGGAACCGGATGGCTTCGTGAAAAGCTACAAAGACTAGTCCAATGTTCACGGTCCGTGCACCACATAAGGAAACGCAGAAGTGTTATTCTCTGTACTGAGGGTGATCGGAATGTGCCTATATCATCTGGGTAGATACTCCATCTCGGTACTACGCGTCTGAACTCCAAGCCTGCGCTCCGAGCCTGCGCTCGCTGAGGACTGGAAATTTATTATGAATCTCAGGAGCAGTTGTATCTGACAGCAAGAAAATCATGAGTGGTATAAGCTTGAGCTGACTGCATCTCCAAACCCTGCTCATTTCTAATTGGATTCCTTCACTTGTCTGGGCGTGACCCAGCAAGCCGGGCTATCCATTGCTACTCTGCACCACTCCCTCTCACAATCGCGCAGAAAACCCCCTATGCAGCAAGTGGGACCGTTGCGTGCTTCAGTCTCAGCAGAGCGTCCACAAAAACCCTGAACCATTGATCCTTTGTCATCCGAGTATCAAACGCGCGAATGGAACACAAAGATTCCTCTGAAGGATAGGGGCCTCCTCATTGAATGTCTCATCAATTGCTGTGTGCGCTCAAGTAAATCACCTGGGCCCACGTGCTTTTTCCTTGATGACATTTTGAGACAGGTCAAGGCTGGTAATATCTGGAGCAAGGTCTTGGAACGCCTGTAGGTCGTCGCGGAAAACTCGAACCCAACCATTCGGGGCAAGTCCATGCACGACCGCTGAGGGCCCCTCGTGCCCTCCGATTTTGAGCACTTGACCCTCGTGCATCCAAAGTCTTAAGTATCTCTCGAGAATTCTTCCAGTGAAACCACGGGCGCTAAACTCATCGAAAAGTTTTTCAAAGGCTGTCAAGTATCGGGCAATAAAGACTTCTCGCATGCCCTTCGCGTTAACCGAACCCACGGCCTCCTCAACTGCTTGTAGTAAGCAAGCGGTTGGTTTAGCGTTCGTTACATTGACGCCGACCCCAACAGTGACATGGAATTCTCCGTTACGAACAGTTGCTTCGCAAAGCACTCCCCCAATCTTGACGTTCTTCGCAAATACATCGTTTGGCCATTTAATTCGAATACAAGTCTCCTGCCAAGATGGTTCGCTAGCAACAGCGTCCGCGACAGCGAGCGCGGCTACATATTGCAAAAAGTTGAGTCGCTCTGGAGAATCTCTCGGGATGCGGACTGCGACAGAGAGCGCAACGCTACCAGCTGGGCATTGCCACTCAGCACCCCGCCTGCCTCTTCCAGCTGTCTGCCATCCGGATAATGCAACTGCGCCACCAGCAGTTTCAGTGAACAGGCGTGTGAGTATATCTTGCGTACTATCTGTCTCGCGGCAATACAACAGCGTTTTGCCTACCCAAAACGTGGAAAGCTGCTGTTGAATTACGGCAATATTCAATCCAGTATCTGTCCCCTGTACGCTCTTCAAGCCTGTCTTAGTGTCTATAAGATACGGCGAGTATGGTCTTGCTGCTGTCTCCTCTTCTGTAAATATTCGAACGCGATGAGTTCCGCTGATGCTGAGGAGAGTGTCGCCATGCCTTTGCAGGAAGGCTCGATGAGAGTCGCTTGTGAGACAGTAAACCTCTATTCCCTCACCAGACGGCATGGCTCCGTAGCATTTTGCGTGGTCGCCCTGACCTATTATCTTGCTCCTGGATGCTCGGAAACTGAACGACCTGCACGAAAAAAGAACAGTCAGCGCCGGCGCCGGCGTGGTTGCCCCTGTGGGTGAGACTTAATTTATTTGGGATTGATGATTTTCCGCTAAAAGGTACATGTGCCCCTTAAATTCCGAACATGAATCCGTCATCCTATAGCTGTTGTCTAACTTCATACCATTCCGCCCGGAGGATAAGCTCTCTCCTCAAACAACAGGCGCAGCTGTGAGAACGCATGATCTGCCCCCTGGGTAAATAGCTGCTCAGCGTTTCACTGAAACCTTTGGAAAGTTGCAAGCAAGGAAAGCCGACCAAAATCCCAAGAAGAGTGTGACCTGCTTCACTAGTACGACCAGATGTCTGCGGTAGGTGAGCGCCCTGCGTCCGCATCGGAGGTGGAAAAATCTGCGGAGAACCACATACCGTTCAAGGACGACTGTACAAAGCCGCTAGAGAGGCTCTTCTCTTTTCTCAAGAAGAACAATCTCCCCGACGACCTTGCTTCCTCTGTACTGTACCAAGTGCATGAAGATTTAGTATTGGTCCGAAAATGGACGAACCTGCGTGTTGTGAATGGCGCTATGCGTCCATATTTAGCGGGAAGCGCAGCCGTTGCGTTTGATTCTGTTTTTCCCGGAAGGAAAGGTTCGAACGACGATGATGTGGACCGCACGCAGGTCATCATGCCGATGTCTATTCAAGAGAAGTTGTCGCCATTCAAACTAAAAGAGTTATGTAGGGCATGTATTCACCCGGAGACTGGCAAGAAGCTGCGATGCATGACGGTTGCAATTGTCGATGATGATAGTACAACTGCATACTACCGTATTTTCGACAGTTTTGCGGAGATCGTGCATCCCCAGTGGAAGCAAAAGAAAAAGAGAACGAAGAATGAAGACGTTGCAAACGGGACGGAGGAGAAGATTGGAGACGCAAACATGCAAGCTAACTCAGAGTCGGAATCTGATGAGTCGGACTACGACTAGTAATGAATACATATACATCATCCAAGAGAAGCATTTCCCGGTGTAACTTTTCAAGGTGGTAGAAAAACAAGTCTGTGTGCAAAGAACTGAAAGCCAAAGTGAAACAGAACATTCGCCCTGAGACAAAGTAATACGGGGGACGAAACGCGGTACGTGTGGTCATGCCTGCCAGAGCAGTTAGCCTTGGTAAGGTCCTTGCTGAAAGAAGCCTCCGTCGAAACCTGGGTTATCGTCCGGCTTCATGTCAACGTCAAAGTCAATCTGAGGGGCTTCGCTGCTCATGTCAAGAGCCCTAGTCAAGAAAATGTAATAAGGGAACAACATAGAGGTTCACATACGAATCAGTACAAGGCATGGCGGTATCACGCAACAGAAACTATAGTTGTAAATTCTACAGGCTTGACGTACTTCTGGGCTTCCGCAAGGTTGGAGCGGACTGTCTTTATGTCAGTGCGGATTTGTTCAACCTGGCGCTCAAAGTCTCCTGGTTGGGCCCGTTTCTTCTCCTGCTATCAGTGGAACGAGTACATCGCAGCAAAGACGAATGAAATAAAGATATATGTGAGACATTGTCCTTTGGTGTTAGGTGCCAGGAGGTAGACATAAACTATGTTCTTGAAAACATACCTGCTTCTTGCCAGCGGCAGAAGCCTTTGTGTTTTTCGACCCGGTCATTCGCGTATGTAGGACGCAACGCTACGAGACTTGACTTTCTACCTGAAAACGAGAAGCGCAAGTTCGGTGAGCAGCAAGTGTTGCCGAGAAGTAGGTAGACTTCAACGTGGGTGCACTCGACACTTGCTCGGGCCGCTTAGTGCAGCGCTGGCCTTGGCGGGACGCGGAGTAATGTTACAAACTAATGTGATGCTGTGGCGAATTGATGTGCGAATATCATATCGAAGGGAGAGAATTAAATTATTACAGTGTTGGCATAATGCCAAAAAATGAAGGATGCCGCCTTTGCTCCACCTTCGTTATCGTTATTTTTTCACTGGGCCTCCCAACATGCATGCCGATGACGTGGTGGGCGACGCCTTGTTGGGTCGCGTGATTGGCATCTTTCAGAAGCCTGTGCGCTGGTAGCGCTGAGATCAGTGAATCTTCCATGCAAACTCTCATGCCGAGTGCCAAAGGCAGACACATACGTGCGAAAGACATGCACAGCTACAGAATACAGGGGTCACAGTAACGAGATTCAGGTTCATCCCTGCACTAAACCGGCCGTTAAAATGGCTCGTCTTGGAGCGATAGGGGGCGATGTGTTTATGTGCAGATATCACCGCTAGCAATCTACTAGTGACACTTCTACAGCAACCGACTATAACGTACAGCTAATCCATGAAGCCCAGACTACCAAACGCACATGCTTGGAAACACAGCAAACTGTGCTCAAGTAATGTACGGCATAAATATAGTCTGTTTGTCCTTTCCATCCAACTCAAATTTGTTGATTAAAAAGCTGAGCTCGTCATCGATATCCTGGTCTTCCAACTTGTCTACCACCTCTCTTCTGTCCTCGCCCACGGTCTCGATAATTTCGCCGTCAGTATTCGCAGGCCTTTCGATATTGAGCTCACCAAAGGCGGCTACGAAGGCCTTGCTTGTTTTCAATGCCTTCTTGGCACTGAGAGAGCGTCCACTCTTAGATATGGCACGAGACTTCCAACTTGGCGTACCACTTCCAAGCAGACTTTCAAACTTGAGAGTGAGGGCATCAACGCTAATTTCCTCCCTGTAACGCTTAGGCACTGAGCATCGTTCAGTGGGTCGCTTCCGCACAACTAGCGGCGGTAAAGCGGTTGAGGAGGAGGATTGATTTTCTGGGTTAACCGATAAGTGCGAGGATGAAGCATGTCGCAATGTGGATGAAGAGAAGAAATTGTTGCTGCGAGGTCGGCGACAAGGGGACGTGTTTCCTCCCTGAGAGAGCGGCGGCGACCCCTCTGTGGCCTGCGCATGCTGAGATGTAGATGATGATGAGGCGAGGTCAGCGAACGACACGGTCTCTGAAGAAGTCGGGAAGGATGGGGGAGGAGATTCATGCGAAGAAGGCTCAGATGAGGGGTGCGAACAAGTAGACCCTATGCGAGATGCGGCCCCGAAGACATAGTTATGAGCAAAGCGGCGAAGACTGAGATGCGAGGCGGTAGAGCGACAGGCCGGGGTGTGCGGGGTGGGGGATGCGGGAGGCTGAACGGGAAGACGAAGCTGGACCTGTCCGTGGTCTGACATGGCGCCTCCGAATTTTCGGGAGGCGGTGGGGGGAGGGGGGCTTGGTGGGGCGGGGAGGTGGAGGTGTTTGTGCAGGGAAGGGGGGGGGGAGGTGGTGCTGGGGGTATGGGGAGGGGGGAGTGGGGGAGGGGGAAGCTATCGTGCATCCGGGGCGGGGCGCCTTTTTTGCTGTTGGTTGGCAGCTGGCCTCGCTGAGGACGCACTGAGCGGACGAATGAAGGCACGGCCATGGGCGTTCATTCGACGCCCTGACGAGTGCGAAAAAGGTAAAGACGCGTGTCTCACACCTATTCGTCCCACCCACCCGCGCTGATTTGGTCTGTACCCTTCAGGTCCAACTTTTTCGCTTTCATTTTTCTCTCTCTCTCCCCATTGGCCCGACACACCACGACAGAATAATACGAGTACAGTAGTCACATTCACACGTGGACACCTCTGCCCCGTGTACAAAGTCGCGCGCCTCTCCCAGACCAATCGCTGGAAGCACCCTACCTTCTTTCCCAGTACCTTCGAGCCCGCAATTGCCCTGCCCCTTGATCCCTCGCCCTCATTCCCCGCACCCCGCTTCCCCTCCCACCATGGATCGTCTGCAGCGTCTCCTCACGCAGAACCCAAATGCCATCTCGGCTGACGTCCCGATTATGGACACGGCCGAGACCGTCCATATCTCCTCGCTCGCCCTTCTCAAAATGCTCAAACACGGCCGCGCTGGCGTCCCCATGGAAGTCATGGGGCTCATGCTAGGCTCGTTTGTCGACGAGTATACCGTCAAAGTCGTGGACGTCTTCGCCATGCCGCAGAGTGGTACGGGAGTCTCAGTCGAGGCCGTCGACCCGGTTTTCCAAACAAAGATGCTGGATATGCTCAAGCAGACGGGCAGGCCGGAAATGGTTGTCGGCTGGTACCATTCACATCCCTCATTTGGTTGCTGGCTGTCGGGCGTTGATATCAATACCCAGCAGAGCTTTGAACAGCTCAACCAGCGTGCCGTCGCCGTCGTCATCGACCCGATTCAGAGCGTTAAGGGCAAGGTTGTCATCGATGCCTTCAGATTGATCATGCCTCAGATACACATGTTGGGACAAGAACCTCGTCAGACAACCTCGAACGTCGGTTATTTGCACAAGCCCTCTATCCAGGCCCTCATTCATGGCCTCAACCGTCAATATTATTCCATCGCCATCGCGTACAAGAAGAACGCCCTGGAGGAAGAAATGCTTCTCAATTTGCACAAGAAGAAGTGGATGGATAGTTTATCCGTCCGCGACTTCGAGCACCATTCGAAAAACAACGAGGACACAATCGCCGCCATGCTCGAACTCGCAAAGGCTTATGACAAGGCCGTCCAGGAAGAACAGAAGCTGACTCCGGAAGAACTTGTCATAGCTCGAGTAGGAAAACGCGACGCGAAGAAGCATCTAGAGGCGGATGTCGCCAAGCTCATGGGCGAGAACATCAACCAGTGTCTCGGTACCATGCTGGATACAGTCGTTTTCCGACAAGATGTCGCTATTATTGAATCATAGCCCCGGCCTTTCTATTAAAGTTCAACTGTCCGCCCTCGTCTTGACTTTATGACATGTTGGTAACCGTCACCATCGTCGAGACAGGGTAATGTACAAACTACTTTACAACTTGTTTGATGCGATGAGTCAGAATTCGTAGTTATGGGTCTTCGGATGCTGCGAGAAGCGCGCCTACGTCTCGTGAAATTCGCCTAAGTACTCGCATTGGCTCTGCTACTATGAGATTCGTCACACCAGCGCATCTAGCAAGTCGAAAGTCGAAATCTCTGCGTATCGTCCACGCGAACACATCTCTATGCTTCATCGACGCCGGGATCGAAGATTCCCGGAGTTGGCGAACAAAGTCAGGCCGCACCGCCGCAAGCCCGACATAAAGTGACGCCGTGTTAAAGTTATCCCCTTCAATCTTCGCCATCAGTGTTTTTCTTTTGTAGTGTGAGTACGACTGGCCCATCCCCAGCGAGTAGCTATACCCCATCGGCAGTCCCAGTTGAAACGCCTTGAGGGACGCTACTTGCTGTGTTGTAAACACAACTTGTTCTGGTTTGATAAAGTTTTTCTCCATGGCTTTCTTCGTCGCTTCCCTCAACATCGTACAATTGCTGCAGTGCGGCGAGTTGGCTTCAATCCCCGGTGCATAGCAGTTCTTTACATCCAACATATACTTTGTGCCCTCCGGCAGTTCGTCGAAAATCTCATTGAGCGTTGGCACCCGGTACGTGCACGGCACGCTCTGTCCACCGGCCGTCGTATCCGAGCAAAACTTGCCCTGTGCAATCTTCCCCCTCGGATCGCGCTCCGGCATCTTCACAGCCAAGCTCTTCACATAGTCCAACGGCCTCTCACACGTCAGCCCCGTGCCGTTTGTGGTACGGTCCAGCAAATCGTCGTGCATAGCCACGACATGGCCATCGCTCGTGAGCGAAATGTCAAGCTCGACGAAGCGCACGAGCTGCGCACCGTATCTCAGGCCGTGCAAGGTATTTTCCGGGTATGGAAACTCGCAGCCGCGATGTGCCACCAATGTGATATTCTCGCCTGTTCGCATGGCCGGCGGCGGCAGCACGTTGGCGGCGCAGAGGGCGACGCGCCAGCCGCCGGGCAGCATAGCGACAACGATTGCCGCGATTACGAGCACTAGCAGGACGCGGGGAAAGAGACGGATAAGAAAGCGGATGAGGCGGATATGGAAAAGAGAAGGCTGGGCATTTTCATTTGAGGCACGGCGGCGAGGGCGATATGACGGGAGCGAGGGCTCGTCTTCTTCGTCCGACGCTATCGAAAACTTGAGGGGCTTCTTTAATTCAGCCTCCTCGCGGGCGGAATGTCGCATTGTGTGCGGAGGACGGCGACGACGCACAGTTTGGGGGGTGGATGTGGCCGAGGAAAGATCGCGGTCGGTCATAGACCGACAGAGAGCGCTGAGACTGCGAGCGGAGGTAGGTTGGTGGCGCCAGTGGCAGCACTGTTGGAAACCATTTTTGCACTACAGTACAGCTGAATCGCAGTCGAGTTTGTACAGTAGCGATGTAGGCTACTGAGGTTACCGCGAGCAAGTACCTGTACAGTTTTTTTCTTTTCTTTATCACGGGGTATCATACTGTAGGGGCATATCCTAACGCATACGGTTGTGAGAAAATCGTTGTTCATGACGATATCGCTGATTGGTTGATTCCTTCGGACTACACTGTGGATACGGGTTCGGCAAATGTAATCAGCATGTGCTGGCGTCGATCGATGCTCTTTTTTTCTTTGCTAACTCAGCTACCTCCCGTCTATAAGTACTCATGCCGTACCCTTCTAGCTACGGGATCCATCGTTTCCTCCTCGCTCGTTTCCCTTTTTGCGGGTCTTTCAGCTGCCTTTTCCTTGCATTCGTCCATACTATGTACATCATACGTACGCATTGATCCTTCGATTCATCCTCCGAATTCGCCTCTGTCAGTGGTGATACCACTTCCTTCTTCGTGGGTCCAGCCCCCATTCCGTTACACTCGTCCTTTCGGTGCAGCGGCATGCACTTGCCATCTCTTTCCATGTCGCACGAATCGGCTTCTTCCCTTGATTCTTTACCCATCCGTCTGTTCGTCTTCCCGTGCATTCGATTGAGAATTCCTTCCTTTTGCCCACGTTATTGTCCTCTCACCCTTTCGCTTGTCCCCTTCTCTCACTGTCTGCCTCTGCATTCTGCTCACTGGGTGTCACTTCTACTCTATATATCGTTGTATAAGCGTACATGCGATGTGTTCTGTGGAGTCATGCGCGCGTGTTTCCACTGTGTGCCAGACGCACATATCCAATCAAATCATGTGATTATTATTTCAGTACCCGACTCTTCACAACGGTACAGTGTAGTTACAGTACAGAGTCTGTACTGTAACTACCGTATGTGAGTTTTGCAAAACTCACAGCATACCGAAAAGTTTTCGGTAAGAACATAGTATGTGAGATACACTTGGTATGTTCTTGTTGGTTGAAAATCAGATATCGTTGACACAGTCCGAACGGCAATTCAAAGCTTGAGAGCATGAACACAGTACAACAAGGACATGACACGTGTGAGCGTGTTTATTTATCTATCTTTCAAGGGGGGCCGATGCTATATCGCAGGGCAGGCGTCAAAGACTCTCACATTTGGGTGGGACATGATAGGGCCTAGCCGTGATAAGGCATAGTGAACACGTGTACATCACTCTCTACTGAACGTCGCTCACACGTATCATTCTTTGCGATGAGACACGCATCGCGAGTCCTAGACGTTTCCGCGGAAACAAAAAGGAAACAAAAACAAAGGTTTCTATTGCAATTCCTGAAAATATTGAATACATTACAGTATTGGGGTGTGACTGTACAGTATAAACCTTTCGGGCGGGTTGGCGCCAAGACTTGGGTTCAACTTATGACCTGAACAGTAAATGGTGACATCACCATGGCTTGCGTATCATCACTCTTCTCAATCGCCCGCAAGTACAATTCCGTAGCGCGAACTGCATTCGCCTCGACTCTCTCGGCACCCTCTACCAGCAGATTGGCGAGAAGCACCATGGCACTAACATCGTCGTCTTACTCAATCGCATCCTCAAACAGTTTCACAGCGCGCGGTGCGTCCCGCATAACACCGTCTCTTCCATCCCTTACTAAGATTGCTAGGTTTAACATAGCGTCTCAATCATGAGCCTTGTAGCATAACCCCCCCCTCTGGGGCTTTAAATTAGATTATATCAAGAACTAGATCAGCTACTGTAGAGCGTCGAGCTCTACAGTACAACCGCGCGTGTCCACGTGTACACCACGGGGACAAGGGACACGCGCATACACGCGCACACGTGTACAGCGCGCGAGCGAGGCGCGCACGCACCACGAGTAATACGTGTACTGTCAGCCTCGACATAGCTGACAGTATTACAGTGCAGGCCGACCTGCACTACAGTAGCCCACTACAGTACCTCGGTACTGTAGTGTTATGATAGATTGTTTTGTATATTAAATATGGAGCGGACCGACGGCGGCGGAAGGGGACAAGCACGGGCTGGTCCTCAACCGACCGCCAAGGTCAGTCCACCCAGCTTATTCTAAACGTTGCCTTCGCTCTTCGCGCGCGTTTAGTCGGAGCCGAGCCGGAGTGGACGCGCAGCACGCGAGCGAGCACGGAACCGCCTCCGCCCGTCAGCACTGGTACGTCACCCAGTGCTGCTCCGGGCCGTCGAGGCGTCGGTCCGCTCGTGCGTGCGCGCGTCCCTGCTCGCTCCCGCTCTACCACCGCTACCCGGGCCCGAGCCCGGTTCCGTAGCTGGTTGGCCAGCTTCACCCCTTCTCCGATCCGGGGTCTACAGGTCGAACTGCGCATACACCTCCAGTCGTCTGGGGGTGTTTATGCTACAGTGGTCTCCCGACCTAGAAGACCCCGAGATCTTTCCGAGAAGACTTTCTTTTTCCTCCGCCTCCGTACGCGTTGAGATGAGTCAAGAATACGCCACCTCGATCCGGTCCGAACCGGCGGATCCGAGGGCGGCCGCTTTGCACGCACCATCCCCGCCGTTCGGCGACGGCGACCCTGGTCTCCGAGACCGCGAACCGTCGCCCGAGTCCCCTGAAGGACAAGCGGCTGCGATGTTCGATCGCATAGCTGACTACATCGAGGAAGTCCGTACTTCACTCCGTATAGACGTGACGGACGCCGTCTACTCGCGATGTGTGGACGAGCTCCGCTCCCTACGTGAAGAGAGGTTCGATCGAGTCAGCCAGTCCTTGGAGAATCTCCGAGCACTAGTCGACGAGTTACACTCGCGACTGGTGCTCGTCGAAGACTCACGCCTCGCACAGCCCGTACTGCACGGGCAAGGTCGCCCCACGAGGCCGATCCCGACGAGACGTCCCGACGATCGACCGTCCCCGTCAGCAGAGCAGTTGGGTGCGTTCGCGCACCTCTCCGCCGAGCTCAACGCTACGCGACAGCGTGCTCGTGACATGGAACGGACCATGGCCGCAAGGCTGCCCGGTGCCCCCACGAGAAGGCCCGGTGGTGCCGTACCTCCGAGCACCGTCGCTCCGGAAGGTTGGCGTCCGACTGGCGCCGACGCTAGTCGGACTGCGGAAGGAAACCGTCCCCCGATGGGCGCGAATCTCGCGTCCGAGACCCAAGCATTGCCGCCTATCCCCGTAAGTAGGCGGCAGATGGACCGCGTATCGTACGCGGACGAACAGGACCGTGGAGGAGCCGCCCGCGGATCCGGAGAACCGAAGTTCTCCGTCGATCCCCGCTGGGGCGGCTACCCGCCGGCGAGTTATGCCGAGCATCCAGGTCCGGTAGACGTCCGTACGCTACCGGTTACCTCCTTCGGCACGCTAGGTCCCGCCGAGCCCGGGCTCGAGCCGGTGCATACGATGATTCAAGAGTTCAGCGCCGTCGCTGACTATCGTATGTACCGCTTGGATAACACCTCGAGGCTCGTCACCTCGGGTGACGCGGGACGGATCGCGAAGTACGTCCAACGCTGCCGTGGGATCCGCCCCACGATGAGGAGCTTTGACGGTACGGACCCGATCCAGCTCCTACCGTTCTTGAAGGATATTCGGATAACCTTCAACTCGCAACACCTGACCGAAGGTGTTGCCGTCAGAGTCCTCGCGCACTTCTTAGAGCGCGACGCGGAGCGCCTGTATACGAGTTATACGATGCATGGCCTCCGCGCCGGCCAACTACACGACGACGTGAGTTGGCCGGGACTCGTGAACCAGTTCCTGAAACGCTACCTAACCGACGACGTGTTAGGTGAAGCGTACGACGCCGTGGCGACGGCGCGACAGCAATCTCATGAAACGGAGAGCACGTTCGCGGACCGGCTCGAAACGGCGGCGTTCCGGTGCACGGCAGTGTTCTCCGAACAGTCCCTCGCGCACTACTTCGTGCGGGGACTCGCTCCTGCGACCCGTGCCGCAGTTTCCGAGACAGTGCAGCGGCTGCCGAGCCGCCAGAAAACCGATCTTCCGACCATCCGCCGTATCGCAACGGCAGAAGGAACCACTTACCGCGCTCGACGCGGTTTACCTCTGCCGGATTTGAAACCGGCAGGGAGGGCTGGCAGGACTACGAAGTCCGCCGCAATAAGTTCGCCCGCCTCTACCCTCCATGTCGGGGAGGATGAGTGGCAGGCCGACCCTGTCCTCATTAGGCAAGGAGCAGGGCCAGTAGGGGGTCGATCCCCTTCACCGATGTCGACCGGAACGACGTCGAGCTACGCGACCGCGTTCGCGGCCACTCCAAGAGCACCCAGGGGTACGGACCCCCGGGTCGCTGAGCTCGACATCTCAAACCGAGATACCGGAGGTGAAGCCCCTCGCGTGCCCCTCCTCACCGACGAGGAGGCGCGTCACGCGGCGACCTTCGCCTCAACGGACGGCAGCGCGTACGTGTGCTGGCTATGTCGTACGTACGGACACGCCATGTACGCCTGCCCGTTCCTGTCGCCGGAACAACGAATGTTCACGGCGTACAGGAACTACCGGTACCAGATGGAGACGCGCCCCGGGGCGCGCAATCTACTCCGGCAAGCGGTCGGCGAGGGTCGTCCCCCGCGTCAAGGTTTCCCGAATCGGTCGGGTGGGGGCGCTCGCTTCGCCCCCCGTGGAGGCGGGTATCGTCGTACCGAACTCGATCGTCGGGATCGGCCCGACTACCGCCAGGCCGACACAAGATACCCCCGCCAAGGAGGGAGAGGGGACCGAGACCGTTCTCGGTTACCCCAACAGGTACAGAATGCGATAATGTACCTGCAAGACTGGGTAGAGGATCCGTACCCCCTACCCACGGAGGGTCACGAAGGAGAGCCGACTCGCTTCGTTCCCCATATCCTGCGACGACCGGGCGCCGCAGGTTAAGACCCGGAAGTACCCGAGTACTTCGCC